GAGGCAGGTGATTGTTGAATACACACACACACACACAGTATATGCTTGCAGAAGGCACCAAACAACCTCCTGCTATCATGGGTTTTGTTTGTGGATAGGTTCTATCCTAACCCCAATAGCTCTGTTTTAAAAGGTTCCCAAAACTCTACTGAAAACATGGAACTTCTTTCTAACATGAAATACAGTTATATCCTGATGTGTAACAACTTGCCACACTGCGACAAAACTAGTGCCTCTTACTATGATGGAAGCTGTGTTCCTTAAAGCACTTAGATCTTCCATACAATACAGGATACAGTGGTACCTCGGGTTACATACGCTTCAGGTTACAGACTCTGCTAACCCAGAAATAGTACCTTGGGTTAAGAACTTTGCTTCAGGATGAGAACAGAAATTGTGCTCTGGCAGCGTGGCGGCAGCAGGAGGCACCATTAGCTAAAGTGGTGCTTCAGGTTAAGAACAGTTTCAGGTTAAGAACAGACCTCCAGAACGAATTAAGTACTTAACCCGAGGTACCACTGTATAGATGTCCTCCTCAGCTGATGTCCCCAAAGTTTGAAATTAGCTGCTTTGGATAACAAACTTGCCCAGCTTGTAAATGCTCTGATATATTTTGAATGGCGCTGTCAGGTGCTGTTGCGGTTGCTCGAGAGTAACCAGGCAAGACTCCCACCTGTCTTTTACAGGCTTTATTTTGGCGCAAACTATTTACAGTGAAGAGCGTCATAAGTTCATGTCTGGCTCAATCGCTAGCAGAATCCGGGAGTGGTCTGTTTTTGTACCTCCCGCAACATAAAAGTCTCATCACCCCCAGCCTTTTCCGCTCCTCCCTGCGCCTCAGACTACTGCGCAGGATGGGCGCTGGCAGGGGCGTGCTCCCCGCCTCTCCGGCTTGCTTAGGCTCGGTGTTAAGGCTCTTCCTAGCATCCTCTGGTCCTTGCACCTCTTCTCCATTAGGTGGGGCTTTCCTCCTCGCCAGAAGAGGAACTAGTTCACAAGATTTTCAGAGGCTCCCTGTAACACAACTGCCCTTCTATCTCTCCCCTTTGAGCCGCTGGCAGTTCCCTGACAGGCGCTTTCTCCAAAAGTTCTTCCCAGGCTCAGAATGTAAAATGAGATGCTGTGAAATTCTGTCCATGTGCAGCCGGTGCTCAACAGTCCAGGCATGAACAGCAGGTGCTTTGTATGCGTATGTGCAAATGGTTTTAATGCAGTGCTTTACTGAAACGCAAGGCTGTCGTGATGACTGTGTTCACTGTTGCAAGAGGTACGCCTCTGAATACCAGTTGCTGGGAATCGCAGTGTTGATCTCGGGTCTTCTGAACTAGATAGGTCTTTGCATTGATCCAGCAGGGAAGGCTCTTCATATTTTCCTACTTGCATGATAGGTAGAGGGAACAGAGAAGTGCATACAAGCAAGCAAGCAGGTTGGTGGAGCTATTATGCAGTACAGAAATGCTGATTTGCTGGAGAAGAGGCAGGGATCTCTATCCTTTCTTTGTTATCCCCCAGCTAGCTAGCTAGCTACCTAGCTAGCTAGCTAACTAACTAGATAGCTAGCAAGTTATTTTGCATCTTAGGAAAGTTGGGGGGCCTTATATACAAATACTTATTTACTAGGTTAAACCTCTTCCTCTTGCCGATTGCTATAAACTACATGATCAGTACATCCAACCAAGGCAGCTTTTTGTTTGGTACCTTTTCGGTCAGCTCTCTTGATAATTATACTTTCCAATGATTTATTAGTTATTTATATGCTGCTTAATCGCCAATACGGCTTTTCAGTGGTTATTGTTTCCCAGATACACACACACACAAACAAACACACACACGTTTCTTGCTCCCAGGTGGGTTAGTCTGGGGAGTGGTGAATTTCAATTTCCAAGCGGTGTCCACCATGGCTTGTATTAGGAACCACCAATTCTACATCCTCAGTCAGGAAGATGCATGCAGCACCATCAGTTCACATAACATTATTAGCCAGAAAAGAATTCTTAGAAAACAAATGAGGGTTTTTGTTTTCCCCCTGAATGAAAAAGCTCCTTATTGTGGAACTAATTCAGACTGTTCTCCTTCCATCTTCATAATCTCATCTCTCTCAGTTCCTGCCTCTCTGCATGTCATCATACATGACACAACTTTATTGAAAGAAGGCATTAACAAAGATACTTCTGACAGGCACATTTAAAGATGTGTATCCTTAGGCTCTTAAATTTTGGGTGATTTTTAACAATCTGATTATCATAGGGCAAGCTTGCAGGATGCTCCCTCTCAAGAGTTTGGTGAATTCTCTCTGTTAAGTAAGCACCTATTTTGCTTATCCACACAGGTATCCTTCTCTTTAACAAACAGTACAAATTCACAAATGTCCAGTGGGGAGGAGATATCTATTTCATAAGGTGAGATTAAAAGGTAATAGAAAATACTCTGACAGCAGAGATAACATACACAGATAAATTAGCTGAATCTACCAAGGAACTAATAAACATGGCTGTGAATAAGCACAGGTACGCACACCCCTTTTTGGGGCTGGTGCCCAATTTGAACTGTGAATTGATGGATCCATTTTTGATCAAACCAAGAGAGACCGTGTTGCTAAACCAAGAAAGGCAGCATCAATAAACTCTAGCTCGGCAGCTTTCACCTCTGGCTGTTAAAACATCCTTTGCTTAAGTATATAGGCCAGAAACAGAAAACCCTGAAAGAATTAAATGCAATGTGGTCCAACAGTCTTTGTGCCATTCTGCCATTTTTATAATATTCAATTATTATCCAGTGCTGAAGCTGACCTATTTCATGCCTCTCTTGGCCCAGAAAAAGCAAACAGAATACACAGCGAAAGGGCAAGAGTGTGAGAGGTAGAAAAGAAAAGAAAAAACTTTTTACGGTTTCTTCTGCTTCAGATATTCAAAGGAAGCAGCAAGAAGGAAAGCACAAGACATCTATACTTTCTTCTTCCATTTCTAGGTCTCATGCAAGGAAAGAGATGTACATGCACACTGTGGGAGGTGCATATTCTGTCAATGTGGGGTAGGTAGAATATGCATTTCTTCACACAGGGCAAGACCCAAAAGGTCATATGGGGTATAAGATTAGCTGTAATATTATAACACTAGTGACACAAGCTTCAACTTTGCCTCCTCTGCATCACAGCCTTGACGTAATTTAAAAGTAGGCCTGCTGTAACCTTCAACTGTGAAGCAATGCTTTTTCAAAAAAAGCAAAAGAAGTCTGTAGTCACTCAAATAGCTGTGCTGAGAAAATGCTACAGCGCTTTGGGAATTGCTGATAGTCAAGAGCAAATTTATGGTTATTTTTTATCTCTCCCATTTGCCACCAGTCAAGCTACCCTTAAGTGTGTATTTCCTTGAAAGCCATACATAGGACCAGAAAACATAGTGGCTGACCTAAATGTCAATATTGTATACTTATTAGGCTGAAGTTATAAGCCAAAAGGGAGCCAATGCTTGAATTCTGAGGTAAAAATTTGTTGGTTTTAGTGACATTCATGATCTTTAGCAAGATTTATGTCCTGCAACTATTATGTTTGCCTTTAGAAACATGATTTGGCTCTGAGAACGCATAATCATTATTGTCGTGATCATCATAACAGTTGTTTGTTATTTGAGCTAATTATTATATTGTTACTCAACAATCAAACAGGCCATTCACATCTGCTGAGTCTGTGGTCCTGGTGACTTCTCTGAAGTAAGCCTGATAGCCACCAACAGTGGTGTCTTGCCTACGGTGCCTAAAAGTAAATTGCACCATTTAAACAAAAGCAGTAGCACACCTATAGGCATTGCTAACAGCACGTGGAAGACAAAAGACTTAGTGTGCTATGTCGCCACTTTGTGGTTTTGACTTCTCGGCTGAAAAGAGAAATGGACCTACCAGCAATTCAAATGCCTTTCCTGCCTGTTTCCTTCCACAGCCACTTTCTTCTCCCTCTCCAACTAAGAAAAGTTAACAAAGCACCCCACCACCAAATGTGGCACCCCACCTTTCAAAGTAAGACGGGATGGGTTTCCACCCCTCTACTACATTTTGTGGTTGGAGAGAGCAGGCAATCTGTGTAAATTAATCAACACAGAATTTTCTTCATAAACACAATAAAACTTTTACTTGAGAAAACAAAGTTGTTGATAAACAGCATAGTTAAAAAGCATACACAGAGTCTCATTGCAGCTATCTGAGAGGCCCTCACAGAGGCACAGTCTTAGTTACTGATTTACTAGTCCTGGAGCCACTGTGTCTGCAACAACACAACACACACACTGGCTGAGACACACAGACTGAGGCCCACAGAGAGGCTGGCTACTTTTATAGAGAGAATGAGTCATCACTCAAGATGAGTTGCGAGTCGCAGAGACTTAGCAGTTTGCTGTTAACAGTTAGCAGGCTTGAGTGATTGTGTAGGCCTTGTAGGTCTTACTGCTTCTGCTCTCAAGAACCTTTGTCTCATGACACTCTCTTCGTGCTTCAAAAGGAAGCACTCCCTCCTCCTGGATTTTTCTCACACCAAATGAGGAGATAGCAGTAGCACCAGTAACGAAAATGCAGGTAGGCAGACTGAAAAGCAAGCAAGGTGGGCAATCGTGACATGCCATGTGTTGATTGACGTATATACATACATGTCTGGTATACTTTTTTGCTGCATCTCCAGAAGCCAGCTGTCAACTTTCTGATTTGAAAATAAGGGAACAGCAGCCTCGAAAATAAGGGATCAGCAGCCTCACCTGTCCTGGGGACAGTCTACGGGATATCTAACAATCCGGGATACCAGCGGGAAGCAGCGGGAAATGGTGCTGGAATAAGGGAATTTCCCGCAAAAAAAGGGAAGGTTGACAGCTGTGTCCCGAAGGGATCCCACTCTGAGTCTTCACCCTCAGCTGACCGATCTAAAAAGCCTTGGTAGGCCTGACAGATCCTTCCCACAAACTGCCTAATAGAATCATAAGAGTTGGAAGGGAGCCCCTGCAAAATGCAGGAATATGCAGCTGTCCCAAACAGGATCAAACCTGTAACCTTGGTGTTATCAGCACCAAACTCTAACCAACTGAGCTATGAAGCAAGTCTTCAGTGAAACTGACAATCTTGCCGATTTTTTTTTGAAAACTTCCCATTGCCAAGAAGTAAATTAGCAACAGAAAACGTTTCCTTCTGAGGCATTATGAAAATGGGAACCATTAGCAGTAGAAGTTTCAGGAAAAAACCAAAAAGTAGTAAGTCCAAGTATTAGGCATTGACAAGGCTGAAGGTTGCTTTTGCATTTCTAAGGAATGACTACTGAGGAAAATAAGGCATATGGAAGAAGGAAACTTTTGGGTACTTAATTACATGGCTAGCCCCAGAACATCTGCCAGGTATACGAAGAGCAAAGATAACAGAATCTGAGAGAATATAGAAGATGAAATCAGCAGGGCACCATTGGAACACTGTGATGTAGACCAGACAGCACATCACTATTGCACATTTGAGATGACAGCTGTTTGAATACCCTAGGTTTGGGCTTTGGATGAAATGACATTTTGGGTGAAATGAAACAGCAGCCATGCAAGGGAACACAATAAAACTGTTCCAATTTTTCAGTATGAATATGATTAATTCAGCTCTGTGTCAGGTGCTGCTGAGTTCAATACTGGACTGCACAGTTTACCCTGACCTTTTTTTTGCTCAGTGTGCCAAGAGGCAGGGTCTGCGGCCAGAGACAGCAGCAGTACTATAAACCCCAATTCTAGCCCCTGTAGTGCATAAATGAGAAAAAGACACCTAGTAAGCATAAACGAGCGTTTTCTTTAAATATCCTTGTTGATAAAAGCATTGTTAAGACAGCTGGATGCTGTGATGCTATATAGCAGCTATGTACATTAACTGCTATTAAGTCAACAATATGGCCAACCCCCCCCCCCCAAAAAACAGCTGTAACTCCAGTTTGTGAGTCCCTATAATATATTATGTGGTTAGAGCTGTAACAGAGAATATATATTTTATACTTTTAAGAAACTGTAGACGCTCAGCACAGTTGTGAAGTTCTCAAGCATTATTAACGAAATAGTATAGTCCAACACGGTTTGTTCAGAAAAGCAGCATATGAGGCAATGCTATTATAATAGTATTTATCACAACATGAGGCTGCCTTGGAAGTAAAATAAGGCCTTTTGCTTTCCTTAACTACATAGCAAAAATTAATATAAGTGGCCCACATGACTGACAACTGGGTGCCTGTTGCTGACCATTGCCATGGAAAATATTTGAAGCCTCTGGAAGCCAGAGGTTTTTTTAATCCATAGTTTTGGCTGTGTTAAAGTCTTAATTCAGGATTGTAGGAATAATTTCTTCATAGTCTTGTTTTTCTTACAACCTGTTTGATTCTGTGGCACCTATGGGTTTTCATCAGCCATTGCTGACTTTCAGTCATGCTGCTATGTGCTGAGCCAGTCACATTATGGCATGCAGACATAATGCATACTGACCTGTGCATGGGTTGGCTTCTGACTTTCAATCACAACTGCAGCTTTTCAAATAAATTGAAGATGTACCTATTCCTTTGCAGGTCTTCCTACAATGGTAGCCAACCCTTTTGAAATGTGTTCAACAAGTCAAGTGCACCAGTCAAGGGCATGTATACAGTATGCATGCAAGCAATCAAATCCTTCTCTCAAATTGGTTGGTGTGGTTTCACCTCTAATCTGCTGAGCTGGGAAGAAGGCAGTGACACGATATGGAAGCCATATATGTCTTCTTCAGTGGGTCAAACAGTAGCTCCAAGAGCTGTTAATTAGATAAGGAAAACTGATGTGGGGTGGGTAGAAGAAAACATAAAATGTTTCCCAGCACTGCAACCTTTATCCACATTTATCCCCACACTTCAGCAGTTGCTTTTAAAGGGGAGGAAACGTGAGATCTGATTATGGATTTTCCATGGGGTTTTTTTCTTCTTACTTTTGGTCCTTACTGATGCTAAATCCTTACTAATTCCAAATCTTTCCTTCCCCTTTCATTCTCCATAACTTTAATTAAACCACAGCCAAATTTTCAAAGCTTGAATCCTGAGAATGTACACAGGTGCCTCAAAATGAGAAATAAACTTTAGGACTGTATTGTAGAGCAAAAACTATTACTAGCCTCTCAAGGTGTTTTTGATTAGGTATAACAAGAGAGCTGTTTCCTATTAATCCATAAATCAACGGATATTGTTCCCTGGAGAAGAGTTCCTAGTCATAAAAGTAAAAATAAAAAAGGGTATTACTTTCAAGCTGCTAAAAGCTGTCAGAACTGTAAGCATAATTCTATAGTGACAAGTGAAAGCGTACACTGCAATAAGGGAGAAGCCCTATTTCTGTAGACACCAGAGAAGAACACTCTGAGGTCTTATTGAGAATGGAGACACGACTATTCAGCACGCACACAATGTCTCTTCGGAGTTCATTGGCATGGATAATTGGACTGCTACAGCAGCCCACGTGTTACTCAAGATGGTTTTTTACGAGGCTCATTTCATGAACTCATTTACAGTATTTCTATGTACTCTTTGATGAACATTTTTTTTATGGGAGAAACAGCTTTATTATAAGCTTGCTCAATTTTTCAAGTTTACCATCTTCAGATAAGAAAAACAAAATTATGGTGATTAAAAAAACTAAGTTATTAAAAAGGATTAACATAAAATTATTTCAGGACACAATAGCAGGAAACTAAGGCAACATTACTTAAAGAAAACATTACTTAACACTGATTTGTCAACACATTGACATAAAACAACAACCCACAGGAGCCAATGAACAAAGAAAAGTCACATGATTTAAATAATAATAATAATACCATTAAACTGTTATCACCTTGAAGCAAGGAGTTTGCAGATAGGTGCCACATCAGTACCATACCGTGCAATTTCTTACCTTTGTGGTGGTTTGCTCCAGATGCTATTCTGCCCCACAGTGTTACAACAAATATTATTATTAGCAGTTTTCCTTTTGTGGCTTTCTGTAAGTATCTTTTATTCATCCTAGGAGGAAAAAAATAAAATACACAAAATGAAAAATGTTCAGTAAGTATAATTCATGTTTTCCCCAATTTTATAGAAGTAGTTAAATACATTTTGTACAGCGTAGTCCCATTTGCGTCTACTGAGAAATAAACACCATTGAAATTCAGTCGGACTTCATCCCAGTTAAATGTGCCTAAGATTTCAGCTTAAGACACCTGGCAGGCATTTCTATATCAATCACCCAGCATGGAAGGCAGGAAGTTAGTCAGATCAAATACATGTCATTTGCTTAAGCTAGTCTTTTAGCCCAATAGGTAAATACCACAATAATGGCTCTACTTGTGTTAGGCTGCATAGTAGCAATAATTTCTAAAGAGCAAGGGGAGCATCAAGGTACAGCTCAAATAAGGCATTGAGAGCTTCACAACTATGCCAACACAATATCAATGGAAAGCCTTCCTAGGAGAGGGGAAAGCTTATCACTGCCTCTTAATACCTTATCACAGCCTCTTCTCCTACACCCAAAGAAGGCAAAGAAGTGAGGAAATAAAACATATTAATCACAGGCAACGAGAATCCTATGGTACCACCTTAAAAAACCCACACACAACTTTATATATATATAACATTATCTAAAATGTATCGTGTTTATTATTTATTTATAAAAAGAAGTGGTTATATACTGCTACAGCGTAAAAATATTTCAAACCAGTTTACAGCAATACAAACGTTAAAAAAAACCATGCAAGCAAAGCATAAAACTTTAAAAACAAATATCATTAAACCATTGTGGAGGGACTGGCATAGGACTGGCAGAAAAGAAAAGTTTCCAGCAGGCATTTAGAAGTTGTCACAAAAGATGCCCACAAAGTGTATCACAGACCATCAATGATACAGTCTATGATATACCGTACTTTGCGAGAACCCCTCACACTACTTGAAACAGCACACCTAGATAGCTAGTTACACAGGGTTGATTCTGTGGCTATAGAGCACAGAAACAGGCAGGGAATGTCTGCCGCTGCCAGTCCACATGACCACCGCCTCTCCGAGTAAAAACATGATGGGCTTTGAGTCACATGGATGGCTTCCTGTATTAATTATGCAAACATACTGTACCTTTCTTCCCAGGATGCTTCCCAAAATCGATAGTTGTGTGCTACAGCAATAAGCAGAAAAACCCAAACGCTGCCATCCTACTTTTAGTCTATTCTGCAATCCTAAATACACGTGCTACTTGATAAGCTCAGTGGCTCTGGATTCTGAATAGACATGCAGAGGGGCAGGGCTGCAAATTGAGAAAATGTTCTTACCATGTTGACCTGATGACTTTTCCAAGAACCGCCTAATTATTACTAACTATTAATAGTATTATTTCTAACAAGCGTTAACATAAGGGCTGGTACAAATGTTACAGAAAAGAAACGAAGGTGTAAAAATGAATCACGGTATCCTTTCCTCACAATGGAAACTAACAGCTGAGAGGGTGGGGGCGGGGGGAGAAGCTGCAATGATCAGTTGAGTGGGAATCTCTTTGAGAGAGACCCATGAGATCCACTCAACTGATCAGAGTAGCACTCCTCTCACGACTAGACAAAACGAAGCCTAAGCGTGTCTCTGCAACCGTGTGTTTAAGTCACGCAGTCAACTGAGAGTGCCGTTTTCAGGCAGCAAAGTTTACCACTTGATAGCTTCACCTGAGTACTGTACTTACTTGAATGTAATGCACACTCTTTTTTGCCAAATTAGGGTGCGCATTAGATACGATGGCGCATTTACATGCACCAGCAAATACTTTATCGGTTTCAAGGTTTTGAAAACTGAGGTGCACATTAGATTCGATGGTGCATTAGATTAGCGTAAATATATACGCAACAAAGGGACTTTGTCTGTTGTACCTGATGAACTTTGATTCCTCCCTTCCTCGTCTAAGTTTCCATTATACACAACCAGTCTTTCACATGAGTTGCGAATGGCATCCATAGCAAAAATGCTTGAAAGTATCAGTTGAAAGTCTGACTGCTATCAACATCTTACTCTGCTGTATTATAGGCTGACAAATCTAGGGAATGTTAAATTATAGG